CCCCCCCCCCGCCCCCCCCTTCTAATGATATCACATGCGTTTTATTTTTGGTCTGTTTGGAGACCGTCTCCTTTGACCTTGGCTTTAATTTTCTGCCCACCCAAGGCGGTATTCACTGGTTCAGGTTAAAGAGATTGCTGGGAAAGTAGTAGTAATTTTTAAATCGAAAAGTAACAACTTAACCAGTGCCTCGCACGTAGTAGGTCTCCAACAATGTTTCTTGAACATGCTGCTCGAAATGGAGCAGGAGTTCCGCAAGTATATGTTTTGTTGTTGTTTTTTAACACATCGTGAGAGGGCATTTTCCCTCCCATTTCTGACTACTTTGCACAAAGACTGGTCTACAACGGGATATTTTTGTTTTCTGGTCTTGTGGTATCCTGGTATGTTGTTTGGGCTTATCAAGAGCTATGAGGATGCATTTTGTAATTTTCTCCAAACTGTTTAGGGAAATAGTATTTCAAAGCAGGAAGTGACCTTCGAGATAAGCTCATTCTGCCTCTCCTTTAATGGTTGAGGAAACTGAGGAACAGCCAGGTTAGCTGGCAAATCGACCACCACTACAAATAGGTCTGCAATGATACTGCTCATTTCAACTTTGTTCCCTCAAGAACCTTCTGTGATTAAATTTGCTGATGCATGCTTTGGTGATGCATTGGAGGGACCATTTCCACTATCCAAAACCCTGATTTCATACTGACTCCACAGTCGGATTTGCAAGTCTAAATCATTGTATTCTTCGGTCTCGAGTGGACATGGGAAGGTATTGAAGCTAGGAGATTACAGGGCCCAGCACTAAACAGAGCTAGAGCATTTTTATTTATACTAAATTACTGCTGAAGTCATGCTAACAAGTCAGAGAGTAAGTGGATAATGCGCATCAGGTGTACAGATTTGAGCACTCTTTATCAGTCAATATGTAAGGAATTTATTTAGCCAAGAAATTATCTCAAAGCAGCATTAGGAGTGGTGTATGAAACATTCACAGTTCCCCCCTCCCCCCATCTTATTCTCATGGTGGCGTCATCCATTGTTGAGCTGAAGAAAAAGCTTCTGCCCCCTCAGTAATCCTACTTCTTCTAGACTCTACAAATCCCAGTCCCTGCTTCACCTCCCCATCCTGACCCCAGACTAGCCACAGTGATTATCTAATTGCCTAAGTAATAGTATGTCTGGAATTTATCTAATGTTTATAACTTAAAGAGAAAATACTTCGCAACCTGAACAATAGGTCTGTGAGATAAGCAGAACCAATATTTTTTAAATCTCCATTTAGTCAATGAAAAAAACTGAAACATAGAATTCTATTAAGCAAACTGCCTAAAAGTAACATAGCTGGTTATGTTACTAGTCTCCTAAATTTTTAATTCATTAATGGATCTGGATTCCTTAAGGTTTTTGTTATTTTCCCACCCTTTGGTGGGTAGAGTTGTACTAACAGTTGTGGAGCCAAAAGCAAATATCCCATGGTTTTTGCAAACTATTACCACTTAAGAAAATTATTGAAGAAAAAACAAACACAAGTGACAAACTAATTTGCATAGCAGGAAAGCAGTTAATCCTACTTAGATTTATACCAGTGGTATCTCCCTGGTGTAATCCCAGATCTTAATGTGAACATAAATCCTTGGCTGATAAAGTCTTAGTTTACATTGTAGTTTGCAAACAGGCCTTTGTGTGTGAACTACAATAGAGCTAAAGTCTCATTTCCCAGCCTGCACTGCCTCCTCCTCCTTTCCTCCCTCTAGAGTTTCAGACACTAAGCTCTCAGAGGTGATCTACATATTTATTGTCGTTGGAATTCAACTCCAAGAATCAAACCCAAGCCCCAGGACAAGTGGGAACTAAAAACTGGGGAACTGCAAAGGAGAAAAACTAATAAATTCCCCCAAGTAATAGGCTGAGATTTTCAAAAGAAAGAGGCCTTGGTTTCTGAGAACACATTCCCAATCCAGGTTTCCTCTCTCTATCCTAATGTAGAGCATACCTGTGAAAGCTTTCCTAAACTGAAATGACATAAAGCAATGAAGCACATACCATTAATTTATATGGAAATTTTTTTTCAGTTTATTTATTTTGAGAGAGAGAGAGCACAAGTGGGGTAGGGGCAGAGAGAAAGGGAGGGAGAGAGAGAGAATCCCGAGCAGGCTCCACACTGTTAGTGTAGAGCTTGATGCAGGGCTCGAACTCACGAACCATGCGATCATGACCTGAGCCGAAGTCAGATGCTTAACCGACTGAGCCACCCAGGGGCCCCTATATGGGAAATTTTTTTGAGCATTCCCAGACCGAAAAAATAACCTATTTTAGGCTTTTCTGATACGTTAGAGCCCCTCTTGCTAACGGATGCACAAAATAAATCAAGATAAGCATAGATGCTCACAGACACAGTTCAAAGCTATGGTGGCTTGATGCTGAGTGTAGTTTCAGGGGAAGGAGCGTGGGGGCGCTACTCTCACTGGTCAGGATGCCCGCTGTCTGTTTAATGGGCTCTCACTGCAAACACTGAACGTTATTTTTCTGTTCGCCTTTTTTCATACAGTGAAAATCCTCTTTGGATTTCTTTGGGTTAGTGAAAACAGGTACTAAGATAGATCTTTCGTAACAGCAAAGTCACATAATGTGAATTTTCAAAAGATGCCTGTATTGAGAGATGAGGATTTGGAATCTTGGCTATCACAAACTGAGGACTAAGTACGTGTCCAATTTTCTCCTCTGTTCACCTGTCAGAAAACACACACATATAAGGGGTTCCCTCATCACACGTGCTCTTAACTATTGTAGTCAGTCCCTTTTAGGCTCTCTAGACACCACTTCTAAGCAGCTAATCCCCCAAGCAGTAATGCAGCATTTAAAGTGTGGTTCACCAGCTGCTCCCTTTCAATATTCTCTTTCCCCTTGGACACAATGAGGCAGCGCTCTTCTGATTATACCCTGTAACACCGACCATGCCCAGTTCATCATAAGGGAAGAATTTAGACATTTGTCAAGATCCTTGTCTGTCTTGCTCCTGCATCAGTCTGCAATTCCCTGTTGATCTATTTATTCACTTCTGTGGTTTCAACTCACACTTGGATAATGTGGACTTTAACACATCCACCCCCAGCCCCATCCACAGGACTGAGGTCCAGTCAGGAGTTTCTAAATGTTGGATACCTCCACCAAGATATGCTTCCTGTACTTCAGACTCAGTGCATGGAAAGTGAACTCTGCCCCTCTTTCCCCTGCCCAAACACCCTTCCCTTCTTCACTTTCCTTTTTTTTTTTTTTCCTAACATTTATTTATTTTTGAGAGAGAAAGAGCATGAACCGGGGAGGTACTGAGAGACAGGGGGACAGAGGATCTGAAGCAGGCTCCGTGCTGACAGCAGAGAGCCTGAGAAAGGGCTCAAACTCATAAACTGTGAGACTATGACCTGAGCGGAAGTCTGAAACTTAACCGACTGAGCCACCCAGGAGCCCTTGAATTTCCTTTTCGGGTCAGTGGAACTAGTAGGTTCTACCTCAGACTTGCTTAAACATGGAGTTACCTTTGAATCTTCTCCTCCACCCTAGCTAGCATAAATCCAACCCCTGCTTTCCATTCCTAGTGACCATTCTGGCTCAGGCCTGGTTAGCTTTCACCATGCTAAAAGCATTAGCTTTTTAGCTGTCCTCCTTCCCCCGAGGCCTTTCC